AAAGAATTAGTTATGTCAATTTTTCTGTATGATGAATGATTTCACTGAAGTGTTTGTAAATCCAAAACAAATGTTGTGTGAACAGGAACTGAAAGATGAATCACAAGACATCTCCATCATTGATGCAGAAGAAGAAGACTTCGCATTCTCTGAACCAATGTTTGTACAACACACTGAAGCAATGCTGGAAGAGATTGACAGAATGGTAAACAGTTTGAGAGGTCTTTCATCAATTGTTTCGTTTGAGCAAAGGTTTTTATTCATCATCTCTTAATGTCGATTTGGTTGATTTCTGGCAGGAAGTGGAAATGGAGGATGTAGCTTCTGAAGAAGAAGAAGGCCAAGACTCAGTTGTAGATATAGATGCTTGTGACAAGAACAACCCACTTGCTGTGACTGAATACATCAACGATTTGTACACATTCTACAGGAAATCTGAGGTTACAAGTGCTGTCTCACCGCGCTATATGGCAAACCAATTTGATATCAATGAAAGGATGAGAGGCATTCTCATCGACTGGTTGATTGAGGTAATTTGGTTACGCATATTGGAAGATGACATATTCTTACCTTCACTTTGAATGGATGGATCAAACTGACTAGATTTGACTGTCTGATGACTACAGGTGCACTACAAGTTTGAGTTAATGGAGGAGACTCTTTATCTTACTGTGAATCTCATTGATAGATTCTTGGCTGTTCATTCTGTTGTGAGGAAGAAACTCCAGCTGGTTGGAGTTACAGCCATGCTTCTTGCTTGCAAATATGAAGAAGTCTCGGTGCCTGTTGTGGATGATCTCATCCTAATTTCTGACAAGGCTTACAGTAGAAAAGAAGTCCTTGACATGGTAAATTTAGAATACAAGCAATTCAGTTTAAGATTGAAACTTGATCATCAATCTAATGAGAGTTTTGTGCCTTAATCTGTCTCCTGCAGGAGAAGTTAATTGTGAACGCCTTGCAGTTCAATATGTCAGTCCCAACTCCATATGTTTTCATGAAGAGATTTCTCAAAGCTGCTCAATCTGACAAAAAGGTTTGTGAACTTGAAAACCCAGATTCAAACTTTGAGGCCAGATTTAGTGAAATCTGACTGATTACTTATGGCATTTCCTAATGTGACAGCTTGAGCTTCTATCATTCTTCCTGATCGAGCTGTGCTTAGTGGAGTATGAAATGCTTAAATACCCACCTTCACTGATGTCTGCTGCTGCAATCTACACGGCACAGTGCTGCCTCAATGGCTCTAGCCAGTGGAACAAAACTCATGAGTGGTACACCAGCTACTCAGAAGAGCAACTTCTGTAAGTCCCCTTCAAAAAGAAAAAGGAAAGATTTATTCTTTCAATCATTCTTGAACATCATGAATTGTTGGATGATGGTTCTTTACCCTCTCTGGGTTTTACAGGGAATGCTCAAGGCTGATTGTGGGATTTCATCAGAATTCTGGGACAGGGAGGCTAACTGGTGTCCACAGAAAGTACAGTACTTCGAAGTTTGGATTTGCTACAAGAACTCAACCTGCTAACTTCCTGCTACTCACGTAGAAGAAAGGGGTGAGTTGATTTGATGGTTTGACTGAGATTCATTTGAGGATGAAACCTGCAACTGAAGTTGGGGGGGGGGGGGGGGGGGGGGGGGGGGGGGAGTAACAAATTGACATGATCAGCAACTGAAGTTGCCGTGGGGAAGAGAACTATACACTCTTCCTCTTGTTCTCTTTCATTTTCTTTGCTGAACTATTATTACTACATCCGATTGACCCTTTGGTCAATTTGTAAGGGTATGTGGATATGTGATGGAACAAACAAAAACACAAGGCAAAATCACTGTTCTTACTTACTTTGCTCTTTCTCTTCAAGAGTGTTAGTGGAAATAATAAAATAGATAGTTTGGATTCAAGGTTTCAAGTGTGTGCATTCCTTTCTTCTGAGTCACTTCAGCGCCACCCAAGTAAAAGTCTGTCTTTTTTAACATTTACATGTTCATTCATTCGTCAGTGTACTGGTTTGCTATTAGGTGTGAATGTATGAGTAAAAGCACTTGTTAGGTACTCAAATTTAGGGTTAATACCTTAGTTTGGCCCGAACTATACACATACTTTCTACTTTGGCCCGTTTTATTGAATATTGCTACTATGGCCTGAACTATGTAGCAAACTTCCTCATTTGGCCTGGAGGCGGGTTTGACCGTCAAAACAGACGGTCAACCAAGTTGACCGTTAGTCAATATACACGTCACCTGCCACGTAGACATTAAAAATTATTTTTTTTCTACCAAAAATAAAAAAAGAATTAATTTCTTTTTACAAAAAATAAAAAAATTAATAATTTCTCCCTTTTAAGCTTTTTCCCCCATTTCAAAGAGAGATTCCTTCACTCATTCACTCACCCACTCAATCCCATTGCTCCAATGGGTTGCTCCATCTCCAGATTCACCATCCTCTCGTCGCTGCACACCCACCACTCCCTTCTCGTCGACCAGCCGCCGTCAATCCACGCCTTCCACCCAGGTCCCGCCACCGGCCGGCGAGCGGTCTCCCACCCCGCCCCGCTCGTCCACCACCCGCCGTCGGGGAAAGGCGATTCCGAGCATCTGGTGTACTTAACCTCCACCACATACGGCTCCGTCCTCCACATTCCTCCTCCGCCTCCTCCCCCACCGCCGCCGTACAAGCCCGTGGAGGAAGAGTTCGGTGAGCCGGTTGCCTCCCCCGACTCCGTAATCAACGCCTAGGAACTAATGGACGGCCTCGACGACGGCAATGGCAATGTGGGTGTCGATTTTAATTTGGGGAAACCTCAGCCACCGACGAGGAATTCGTGCTGGGTCGAGGAATTAGGGCTTCCGGACCAGCCGGAGAAGAAATTGGGGTTGCTGTCGAAGCCGCTGTGGAAGCATTTCTCGGAGGAGTCGTTTCCGTTGAAATTGGACCCGGTCGTGGTCTCCAACTACCGTCGCGCATTGTTCGGCAAGAGCAATCCCAAAAAATCAGTACAATCCGACTCCGAATCTGGCTGCTCCCCTCAACCAGTCTGCGCCGCCGACGGCTGCGGCGGCAAGGGGGAAGGTGGTAGAAAAAAAAATTAATGTTTTATTTTTTATTTTTTGTAAAAAGAAATTAATTCTTTTTTTTATTTTTGATAAAAAAAAATAATTTTTAATGTCTACGTGGCAGGTGACGTGTATATTGACTAACGGTCAACTTGGTTGACCGTCTGTTTTGACGGTCAAACCCGCCTCCAGGCCAAATGAGGAAGTTTGCTACATAGTTCAGGCCATAGTAGCAATATTCAATAAAACGGGCCAAAGTAGAAAGTAAGTGTATAGTTTGGGCCAAACTAAGATATTAACCCTCAAATTAATGTGGAAAATTGTGGTTTAAAAGTTTACAGGAACATGCGATGCGGTCCACTATAATGCTGCTTGTTACGTGGGATGAGAATTGAGTAGACGTTGGCCTCAAATCTTTGGCCTAATGGAATGTCAACATTTGTTGGTTTGACACAAGTACCCAATTGGGCAATTTTTCTTGAAATATCTGCATTTTCAGATTTCATCATTGATTTTAAATCTCTCCTCAATCGGAAATAATGGGGATGATCATCACTTTTTAATTTTACTAGTAAGGAAGCCCGCGCTCCGCGGCGGGGAGATCATATTGGGAAAATGTTGAGTTTTTAGTGGAAATTGACACATTTTTTTCACATGAGTAGGTTTAGTAGAGAATATGCGACTTAAGAAAAACTGAGGGGTCGTTTGAAGAACAGGATTCAGGGCGTGGATTTGTTGAAGTCGTAGATTTTGTAGAGTCATGTTTTTTTGTTGCTTTTTGTAATGTAGATTTTAGCTTTAGGGATTTCAAATCTCTAAAATCTATGGATATCAAATCTCTCATAATTAAAGAGATTTTATATCTTGAATCGTGATTTTTTCTCTCTTACTTTTTTCTCTTACTTTTATTTATTTATCAAATTAAATATATTTATGAACAAATTTTTAATATTTCTCGAATCAATCTAATTTCTTATTAAGGATAAACATGTTATTTGATATAAAATTGAATTTTTTATTTTCTTTGAATGTTAACAATCACAGTTACCAAACAATAAACATTTTAAAATCTATTTTTAACAATCCGAAGAGTTAGAATATTTAGATTGTTGACAATCTATAAATTTAAACTCATATTCTCCAAACGACCCGTGGATTAGGGGTGGCTATACGGTCCGGTCCGGTTAAATTGTCCCAAATTTATCCGGTCCCAGTCCGATCTTTTCGAAAATATAAGGACCAAAGATTGGATTGGATACAGTCCGGTTTTGACCCGGTCCGGTCCCAATTGGGCTTGATTTTATATTGAGCTTGTGGGGATTTGAGTGGCATAAGACCTGAAAGTGTGAGGAGCTGGTTAAGTTTTGTACTAAGTGCAAAGGTTTGTGACCGTTTATGCAAATGACCCTTAAATTTTGGGTCCTGAGCTCTCTTATCCGGTCTTTATCCAGTTTTCGATCCGGTCCCGAACGGTTTTTTACCTCAAATCTAAGCCCAAAACTTGGGTTTGATTGTTTACTATCCGGTCCCGGTCCGAGTTATACGGTCCAGTTTCGGGTAAAACCAAAAAACCCGGACCAAATAGCCAACCCTACTCTTGTACATCTACAAACGTTGCACTGGAAATAAACATTAGCCACATCAACCTATTAAATATTGCAAAGCGAGTGTTACCATATAAAGGAGCAACACATATTGGTTGTTGTCAAATTGATTAATTGGGAAAGTATAGTTTAGATATTGTGATGTCTTGCATTGGATGTGGTTTAGAAGAGTGGCAACTGGTGATGGTGGGGCAAGTGAAAGTTACGTAACCGCCTTTTGAAAATGGTGGAGATGTTTACATTTTCCCCTTAAAATAGCAGTACAAAAGGAGTGATAATTAAAGAGGCAGAAGGGTTGAAAAGCAATATCATGTTATGCAAGCACTCACAAGGGGTAAGATCAATATGAATAAATTAAATCATTAAATCGCTAACCATTTGCAATTCGATGTTAATCAAATGCAACAATTCCTAGTCCTCCCTCGTTCGCCTTCTCTAAAAGAAAAAGTAATAACATCAAGTCCTACTTCTGTAACCGTGTACACGTATACCAAACCTGGAGGCAACAAAAATGGAGATCTAATATAACTCTCGCCGCTTAAGCAATGTATAAAAATACAACACCAGTCAGTTTCCAACCATTTGCAGCGGCCGGTCCATGTAAGTGCAACTTTTAACTACTTGATCATGAATGTACGAACCAACTAACAAAAGAGGCACCAACATTGAACCAATGAAACATTTCGATCCAAAAGCCAACACTCACAAAGGCTCAAAGGTACAATGGGAAAACTGAAGTTATAATTTCCCTTGTTATCAAAGAGCTCATCCCTGATAACTGCAACAAATGCAAAAAAATTATGCAGTCAATTGTAAGAAGAATGTGATTTGATGGCAACTGGTAAAGTAGTTCACATTCTTGGCACCTCGCTTATGGCATCAACACTCTACAACCATTAAAGGCAATTATATACAAACTTCAGAATTAATGAGAAGCAAACCAACACTAACTTGATAACATAACCACAAAGTACCAATGAGAATGAATGGAACTAAAATCTAAAATGGAAACTCTCATGGAAACAGAGAAAAAATCGTAGTGGCTGCAAGTGCTTTCCCGCTTTAGTACTCCTTAAAATTAGCAGTAAGGCAGAGCATAGAGCGGCAACATATGTAGAAATTGAAAGTAAAGTTGTAACGAAGCTACATAGATTTGCCAAAGCAAGAAACTAAAACACAGTAATGGTTGAGAGTTCAGAGAAAGGAAAATAAAGATTCAATAGCAACTGAGCAAAAAAAAAGTAGACAAAGCAAGAATATCCAAGCACCAATATCAATTACGAAACCGAAAAAATCTGCTTGAGAAAATCAGTCAACACTTATCATAAACAAAACCCCAAACGGTACCCTTCATTGCCACACTAAATTTCCATTATAGTTCCACCAGACAACTATAAAATACTAAATGCTAAAGCAAATTATATCAATATATCAAACTGATATGATGTAATTAGAAGGCAAACGAATGCAGGTTTTTAGATCTTTCAATCTGGAGCAACAAATCAACATCCAATTGCAGAGGTAAAAAAGAAAACAAATAATAATTCAACAGAGTTAATCTAAAAGAACATGTTATTGAAATGGCAGACGACAGTCCCATTTGATTACTGACTGCAGATAAAAAACTGGCATCCTAAAAGGCTTGTCAAATTGAGAACTGATTACAGGTTGATAAGAACTTCAGCTGAACCCCCCATTACTATACACTGCCCCTCTCCTAACCGATGGGTTTTGCCGCTTAATGAGACCCAATTTCTTAATTCTTCTTCACTCATCCATCTCAAAGCATACCATGATGTTTAATCTCAACTTCAATCATAACCCCAGTCCCTAAATATGCTTCTATGTTTTCCTCTTATCGTCACCAGAAGGTCAAGTCAGTTCTTTATGAGGGGCACAAAAAAAGAGGAATTTCTTGGTGTAGGGACTTGACTTCTTTTAAGCAAATATTTATAACAACACTTACACAGTGACATGCAGATATTCATCGGTCAAAAAACCATTCAAATCCTAGCACGACGATATCATTTCCCTCTCTTACAAATTTTGTTTATCGTGACTTCTAAGAGAAACAACAACCTAGACATAATTAGCCGCATATATAAAGACATATAACCCAGCTAGATAACATAATCAGGTTTTGAATGAAAAGAGAACTCATGCAAGGCAAAATAATAAACAAAAAAAGGGATCCTATATGGAAATAGAGACATGTGCTTAATTATGTATTGAACGGTAAGTGATGCTCACCAATTATAGGAAAACTCTTATTAGGTGCTAGGTAACTTAGCTCTTAAAAGCCATGTAAAAAGAGAGAGGCCAGTAGTTTTAGCTAAATTTGTCTGGTGTCATTTTGACAGATCATATCCAACAATAGCACTTCAAAAAAAAGTGTATGTTTATAACAAATCCAAGTTAACACCTAAAACTAAAATAAACAAACAGAGATGATGGTAAAAACAACTATAAAAAGATGGCAAAGCCAAAGGAAAGGGAGAAGGAGAGAGAACCAGTCCCCAAGTAATGATGCAGAAACCAAACTAAATCTTTGAAAGCGTAAGTTGAAACTGAAATAAGGATTTGACTCTTGAGTAATCACATTGTTGCTATTAGTTGCAGCAAAAAAATATCTCATACAGCTGAATATAGAGAAACGTAAACTGGCGGGCTCCATCAATTGATAATGGAGGCTCTATGGCGTCAATCAAGCATCTTAACTTCCTAAAGAGACCCAACCATCAGGTAGTAATCTCGAGGAGGCTAAATAAACTAAAGATAACGGGAACGAAACATAAAAACATTGATCAATACCATGAGGGACTGTCGATTCCATTTTATAATTTGAAGTCCGCTACATCCACCCATTCCTATGTTCATATGCCCTACTGTAGGTCTTCTATACAGATCTTAAATACTGCAGTTTGGTGGATTTTTAGGTTCAAGTGACTCATTCATGAGGAGAAGAGTGATATAAACATAGCCTGGATAGCCAAAAGGATTATATATTTTCAGATAAACAAATGCAAAGGCAGTAGGGGAATCCAATTCAAGCTTGAAGCAATGAATATAACAAATAAATACTTCTTATGTGCACGAAAGATAGAGATAGAGCATCAAGTAGCAACTAAGTCAGAGCAAGGATAAGTACAGAAAGAGCTATTCTTATTAGAGCTCATAAACCATACATCAAGCAGCATAAAAATACTCTCAATCCAGTCTATCATGTAGTTTTGTGACCAATAAGATAATATTTGGTACATGCACATGACCATGAACATCATGTGAACTAAAGAAATCAGAGTGCAACTTACCTGTTGTTAAGAACTCAGTACGGTAGGGAGACTGCGAATTTACAGTACAGCTTTTTCACCTTTACTGTGCTCCACGACTCCATTAGGCCAAAGCAACACGACCTCAAATTCTCATTGTAACCTCTATCCAAAAAAATAAGTATTAGTTCAAGAAAGAAACAAAACTGGGTTTGAAAATTATGAAACCAGACATTCAAGTCGAGTTGTACCTTCATGTAAGTCGAGTTGTACACTGCTCTACCTCCTAATCCACAGTTCCCAACACCCCTTACTGGTACATCAAACTGACCAACTACAAACAACAGAAGCAAAGCAGGTAGGAAAACCATAAATCCCGAAGTAAACAAATGACAAAGCATATAACCTATACTGCTACCGACCATTATAAGCAGAAAGCACCTTCCTACCCCAAACAAAAGCATAACTAAAGAAAAGCTGAAATGAAGACTGTGAATCAAAATGGGCTTGCTTTAAATCTGAATCGGCACCAACCACGTTGCCATTGGCTTCTTCCTCATCACACCTGTTGCTTAACAGCTTGTACAGGTTTCTTCCATCCTCCCAGACACGGCGACAACAAAAGTAGATCAAATGGATTGTCAGCAGTGTACTTCATATCTTTGGTGGCTCTAAAAAACACCCACCAGCAGATCTACCATTCATATTATCCAGAGAATTCGGAAAGCACAACAACGCACAACCTTGGTTTTTGCATATCAATCAATTCAATTGGGACTGGCAGATCTGGCTACTCTCTATTTCTTGTATATGCATATATATTAAGCTGAAAGAGCAATTTAGACACCACACTTAAGTTTTGCCTTCTGCACCCTTCATTCTGGGCTCCAACCAACATACAACATTTCACAAACAGAGATGAATTAAAACATCGTTTCACATATAGACTAACAAAATCCGCAAGTGGAAAGCTCTTAAAACGTATATATCCTAACCATTTGCAGCAACCAGTTCATCTAACTCTTAAGTACCTCCATGTATTTATAAATTGACAGCTTTAGTCTTTAATGTGATTATGAAAATCGGAACCAATTAACAAAAGAACCAGCAACATCGAAACAACTAATCACTTCGATCGAAGAGCTAAAACGCTTACAAATGCTCAATGGGTGTTGCATGAGAATGTTGAAGCTATCATTTCCCTTGTTACAAAGTAGTGAATATGAGCCCCCAAGAACCATAAAAAACGAAAGCAGTAAAATATGAGCATGATGTTAAAATGAGGCATAAAAAACCAACATACCTTGAGAAAGATAACAACATAAACAAATAAAAGCGAAATGGCCAGCAGGAACCCCAATGCATTTGCTATAAATCCTAGCCGACACCTTCTGAACCAGGTCACAACTTCTTTCTTCTTCCTTGTCATGCCTGCAGCTCAGAAGCTTTTATAAGTTTCATACGGAGGATAATATATTTAGCAGCCGTCAATGAAGTAGGCAGACACTGAATAAAAGAACTATAAGAGAGAAATTTGTGTCTTGTCATTTAGAGTTAGTATATAAATGGACCTTTAATACTCCCTTCACATATTTCAATGACCAACTGAATCCACACCCATCGTCATTCAACACAGATTAGAAGCACAACAAATTTCTCTCTTATAGTTCTTTAATCCACACCCATCGTCATTCAACACAGATTAGAAGCACAACAAAAATGTTCTGTAGAAGCTCTTCTAAGTGTTGCTTATGGACCTTTCAGAAAACCAAAACTGACAAATATAATAGGTGATCTTCCATTCTGTATGCAATCGTACTTCTTAGAACTAATACATAAAATTAGGCGACCACAACTCAAGCTGATCAAATACGAATACATAACCATCAATGAATTCCAGAACTCAAGAAACAGACTAAGCAAATCAAATATGGAATCATTCTTACTACAACATAATGGCAGAGGCAAGCGAGAGCTGAAAGACCCACCAAGTGACTTGAAAGGCTTATATGTAAACTCAGTCCAAGCTTGAGCGAAGTAAGCTGAAACCACGCAAAACACCTGGCACCAAACCATCAGCAGGCGAGACACCTTCGGCATCACAGGTGCATCAAGCAACACTATAATGGAGCTTGGCCACAAAACCCAAATGTGAATTAGCATGGATTCCAACACTATTATTGAGATAGAATCGAAGAGTCAAACTCTGCTCTGAGTTCGAAAATAACAGAGAAAACAAACATGAAAAAGAGACAAAATAAAAAAAGAGCAAAGAGGCAGATCCTAAAATTAATCAAAGAACATAAACTAACAGAAGATAAACTAACCATTCAAACCAACAATGGGTCAGAATACAGTAAACAACTGTATGATGTTGCCATGACGATCCAGGCGTTGAAAACTTCCCCTTGCATTGCGTGATGGCGTGAGGAGAGAAGACCACTAGACCTGTTCATAATGGAGCTTCGATAACAGGAACGACTTCGACCCCTATCACCTTTCTTCCCCCTTCTTCTGCCTTCATATTCGGCTTGTTCGTCTTCCTAAGCTGCGACCAGGTGATTTAATGGGGGAAAATCATACATTATGCAGCTGCTTACAACTCACTCCTTGTCTTCCTCTTCGCATTCTTATGATCAGAGCAAGAACGACCTGCACACGGATCAAACCAACACTCCAAATATAATATTTTGTTAAGGTAGAACATCCATAACCATGATTCAACCAAACATGAACCCACTACACGGTCAAATTAAAAGAAGAATTGCAAAATTCAAATTACCTGGCTTTGCCTCTTCCGCTAAACCAGCCCTCTCATATTCTTCCTTCTGCCAACCAAATAATGAATCAAATCCATAAAGTATGCAAAGACCGAAAAACCTAGAGCTTAAAATCCACAGAAGAAGACTGTAGACTGAAGACACGATTTAAAACATAACCGAACACCAAAAAGAAAAAGGAAAGCTTGCCTTGAGAGTGCTAGAGAGCAGTGGCCAGCCCTCGTCTCCTACTACTTCCGGGAATCAAGAACAGTGACAGCTCCTCCATTATCCTGCCTATTGTCCGAACCCAAACCCCCAAAAGAAAAAGAAAAAGTCTGATCACCTAACAGGAACCAACAAATTAAAAAACCCAAACATACCAAAACCCAAAAAGGATATGAATCTACAAAAACAACTTACCTTGGTCCCCGTTGATAGATATCCGACTTTGGAGGGGGCATGTTTCCTCTACCATGGCAGTTGCTAGCTGCGGCCGACGAATCACTTTTTTTTCTAATTGAAAAACCCATAAACAAAAGATAAACAGCAATAAGAACTCAAGGCAAAAAAATCCAAAAAGGCAAACGAAAATGACTCTCACCCGTCGTTGGACCATCACCGGCGCCGTTTGCTGACCTTCGCATCGCACCAAACAAAAGATAAGAAATCACTTTCTTTTTCTAATTGAAAAACCCATGATAAGCAGCAATAAGAACTCGAGGCAAAAAAATCCAAAAAGGCAAACAAAAACGGCTCTCACCCGTCATTGGACCATCACCGGCGCCGTTTGCCGACCTTCGCAGCGCACCATCGTCAAACAAAAGATAAGCAGCAATAAGAACTCAAGGCAAAAAAAAAAAAAACAAAAAAGACAACATGTAAAACGAAAGCGACTCTCACCCGTTGCTTGGACCATCACTGGCGCCGTTTGGCGACCTTCTGATCGCACCATCGTCATCGTTCATAGGCATAGAGTGATGGAGGCGAGCAGGATTTTCCTTCGTTTTCTTCTTCTCCTGGTTATTCTTTCTTTTCCTTCTTCTTCCAATGAGAGAGAGAGAGAGAGAGAGAGAGAGGGAGAGAGAGAGAGAGAGAGAGGGAGGGATGGAGATTGATGGAGGGGGGAGGAGTTACGGGAGTCGTGAAAATGAATGGATGAGAATAAGTGCAGGAGAGAGGAAAGGAATAAAGAAAGAAAACATAATTGCATTTTTAGTCCTCAGTAAATCCTTGGTTAATGGTTAATTACGAAAGAGAGCCACATATGCATGTCAGAATTCAGAAGAAGGGTCAATCAGAAAGGAGAACAAGAGGCAAATAAGGAAAACAAGTAACAGTGTTTGGATGTGACTCTAAGGAACAGTGCAGCCTTTGCTTGTTCTTTTAATAGAAGAATCAACATCCACATTTTTTTTTTCAATAACAACATCCATAAATTTTTACATTGTAATATTCAAACAACCCTTATATATAATTTAATTTCACATATTATAATAAAGTGAAAACTTTCGTCGCTCAATTTAAATTATTAAACAATCTGATTAGATGCTAACATGATATATGCCAAATTCATACTTCAAATCAAACCACCCAAATATTACTATGCTTACCATTCCACTATCGTCTTCGAGTCTCTGCTAGAATATCATAATATTTGTATAAATACTTTCTTGAGGTCATATTTTGTGGCTATATTTCGAAAACAACACATTTATTTAAATGTAAATTGTCACACATTATTTAGCTATTTAACTAGATCGAAAGTCTGCACTTTGCGCCGAGGCTTTACATTGCTTTCTCAAACTATTATATAGATAAAGAAATACGACCATTAAATGCCTCATAGTGTATCCATGCAATATGATCTTTCATAGCTTGTTCCCAACCTGTAAAATGCAATATTATAGTTGAGAAAATCAATTAACAAACAAAACCACAAAAGCAAGTTTCTGAGGCAAGTAAGTATGATATGTGCATGCTAATTCTCTCTTTTATTACAACTTGTTGGTAAAGGACTTTGAATTGATAGTGGAAGTGGCAAGCAACAAGCAACATGATCGATTATGGTGCTTAGAAATAGAACAGTACAATGTAGATTGAAGTTGCTGACAAACTTCTGTCAAACCACAGACGTTGTAGACAAACAGTATATACAACTTCTAACTAATGATGACTTCTAACTTGTAGAGAACACATATCTACTTACAGACTATCCCGACCAAAATTATGAAATCATAGTTATGTTTACCACGGGACATATAACAAATATATCAACAACCAAACTCGTTTATCCTTACATAGTATATGAATATTGTCTTTACAGATTATCTCAGCTAGCAATTAATGCACACACTGACCCAATCTCATTGAACTCGTCAAGAAAATGGACGAAACCAAGTCATAGTGAAATCGGTTAACTTTAGCTGATAAAAGACATTCGCCAGTGGAAAGCTACTTGATGATGAACAATATTATATGATACTAGTTTTGTGCCCGCCCGATGGGCGACATGTATTTATATTTTTTTGTTCTTATTTTTTGATAGCGACAGGTTACTACTTCTTTTTGTATATATTTATTAATATTATTTATTATGCAAACTTTATTGTTTCATAATAGGCTGTCATATGTTGTTTGAGTGTTGTTAGGAGCAACGATCATGTAAAACTATAAGAGTCATAGCTTCATCACTATTTTGAAGAACATATTCACGATCAACTCTTTGATTGGCCATCAGTTTTCAAAATTTTATGTACATCACATTTCTTTTATTTCATGTATCCACATGTTTCAGCCAAATATTGTGTGAGTCTATTATTTTTTCCAACCTCGTGAAGAAAAACATTATTCAAATTATCATATTTAATGATTGAATTAGAGCCATTTTGACTTATTTCTCTTTCGATGAATGTATAACTCAACTAAACTTAGAAATTGAACATTCTAGTGGTAGTAGAGTTCTCAATAGATGGTAAATTTGTATTGTAATTGATACGTATAACCTTTGTCCATCATTCAAATAATGATTCATCTTGTCACTCATATATCATTGTAGATCCTAATGTACTCTCAAAAATATTTTGGAACTTCGATATGTCACACTAACAAAACCAATTGGAATTGAGATGTGAACGATCTTGTGACTCGTTGAACTAAACTCTACGATACCATTATATAGCATTATGTACACTTGAACCTTACCATTTTATGATATGTAATGATAAAATGGACTTGTTCTTCAACTCAATTCTATGATTGATGAATGTGCAAATAAACAAACTTAGCAGTTGCACCTTCTGGTGGTACTAGATTTCTCAATCAACGATAAATTTATTCCCGAAATTGCAAACACATATAACACACGTTCGTTATTCAAACTATAATAGTACAAAAATATGTTGTATCATTGGTGTTTAAGAAAAAGGTTATTGTCTTTTTTTTTTTTTTGAAATGACGTGACATGAAAAGTTAAATAAGAGATTGCATTTGACTGATAATGAAATTTCTCTTTTATTTATGATGATTTTATTCGTACATTTGTAAATGCTTATTGAAACAAAAGTTTTTTAGTTGTTAATAATTTCTGTTATGAACATAAATGTAGAATACAATATTCATTTGTGATTGCTAATATAATTTATTTAGAATTAGACTCAACACTTTTAAAATTGAATCGGATGTCATCAATAAAGTAAAAAATACCATTGTTAGAGGTTAGGTGTTAAATTCATTTGAATAAGTAAGACAACAAAGTGAAGTTTTTGTTGTGCACAATTCTTTTTTCAGGATGTACTTTTTTTACATGACATCAACAACTAACATGTACTTGAATGAGGTCTGAGACTGAGACTGAGAGTGAAAATTCACATATTGATAAATAAGCACCTAAGAAATAGACATGGTTTAGATGAATGAAAATGATAGACAATTACATATCATGATCATGTAACTAAACTGTAGTTGTAGACTTGTAGTCGTATGCATTGAGTTCCTTCATAGCCATTATAATGAACAACTTACATGAATAAGTTGGCTAGCAAAGACTAATTGATGTATATTTATTGGAAAAGAAAGTTATACTATTTATATTATGGAAGCCCAACCCTAGACAGGCATGAGAAGGAATTTAGGAATGAAAGTGTCTTGAGTGAAGTCAAAATGAAGATGCTTGTGGAGAGGTGGTGACCCTAGGTTGTTCTAATCATTCACCAATCAATAGTGAAGCAGAAGCAATATGCGGAGGCTGATGTAATTTTAACGTATTCACGAATGACAGAGGTTTGAGGCGGAGCCGACATACAAATGTATGCTAATAGGGAGCTAAGGTTGTGTGAGAAAAAGGTGGAAAATAAAAGAGAATTCTGCGAATAGTGTTGACTTGAGCAAAGTCAAAATACGAAATAGGTAACTGAATCTCATTTCAATTTCTTATTTTAGAAGAAAAAAGTTAATTGTTGTGAAACTTTTCTGGAACACTCTAGGTGCATAACCCTAAAATCAAACACAAAAGCATAACCACTCTCACGTTAATTTTAACAAACTGTATCTTATTCGTTTGAAGTCGTATTTCATATTTTTTTACATAAAAATTAAATAAATATAGTATACAAATAACATTTACAGTGATATATTTTGAAAAAATAATATACATGAGTATGTCCTATATCATGGTCATACGAATACTATGTCATAGTTGTATACATGATTGGAAATTTTAACCAAAACTTAATGGATATTTTGTAAATCACAGTTAATTAATTTTTCTGTACAAATTTTTTGAAATCATATTTAAATTAAAACACAATCCAATTGATAAGTATGGGCTATTTAAAAAGTATTTGAATTTTAAACATGAGAATTGTCAAATTTTGGAACTTAAAACCCGATCCAAGGTTTTCTATCTCTTACACACAATACAAATAAAGAAATTATGTCAAAGTATTGGAAAAATAAAAGAAATTAGAATTGTATCAAACAAAAAAGTAAGTTTGCATGGAAGTTAGGAGAAAAGTGACTGATGTCCTAAAAAGAATGAAAATGAGTTGCATTATAGAATAATTATATTGTCTTTAATAAGTGAAAAATAACTATATTCGTTTCATTGATACGTATATAACTCGATTTTCCTGTGAATTCCTTTCAACAATGACGTTTTCACCCAGAACAAAAGAACTTGGTTAAAAAAAATTGACGACCATCAATAACGATATTCTTACACAAATGAAATTACAGTGTATCATAGTGGCACATGACTAAACTATGTATGTATATATATATATATAATAGTAATTTTAAGGTGTAAGAACATGTCACATAAATATATAATTGTGATAATTTATTTTACTTAGTAAATTAGTATTTTCACTCCAAAATATTATCAACAACTAATGCAGTACACATAAAATATTATAATTTCTACTATATAATTATGTGAGTGTATTAATGCACATATTTATAGTAGTGCATACAAAATGTTACATTGTTTGTGTACCAACATTATTAAATTAGAGATGTAGAAATATTGGAGTAGGGTTAACTAATAAGAAAAGCTACGATGGAACCCAAAAGATGACAGTGCGAAATAATAAGATTAGTTTGGAATGGAAATACCAATTTTCACTTAGTTGAAGCAGATCTTCATGCACAATCGTAATCAACGGTACATGTCTAATTGTGATGCAGGGGTTTGCTTTGATATGTAATTGTAGTTGGCTAGTGTGGGGAACCACTCTTTGTTTTGGCCATGGCTTTTTATAGTTGCTTTGCTAGTTGAGTGGCCAAATGGAAGAAGGAAGCGGCAGTATATCTGGGAAAAACACACGATGACAATGCAATCAATTGCCTATTAACTACCAAGGTAATTAATGTCGAAATTATTTTAGATGCAATTACCGTCTTTAATGGAAAATTTGGAAGTGAAAAAGGGCTATTAGTGGCTACGAAGACAATTAATTAGGGGCAAAAAGGGGAAACGTATTTTATTGAGCCAAAATAGGGGAAGCTAGTAATAAATAACATAGACTCTTTAAAGTCACAGTATTCC